ATTTTTTATAAACTTTTGATAAAAAATAAAATAAATGATAGAAAGTATAGGTTTTTATAAAAAAAAAAAGAAAAAAACTTGCTTAAAAATAAATTTATAAAAAATCTTAATTTTCCCTTAGATATTTTTAAAATAAAAAAATGACATAATAAAGATTAAAATTTTAATGAACAAGAATAAAGAAATATAATAAAAAAACAATAATGAAAAAAATAAATAAAATTTGATAAAATAGAAATAAAATCACAAGTGGTGATTTTACTAAAAATATTTGCACAAAAGAATTTTCTAAAATATTCTACAAGTGTTAGAAATATTTTAGAATTATTTCAGTATAAAAAATAAAAAAATTTTATTAATAAAAAATTACAAGTTTTGATTTTCACATAAAAAAAATCTCTAAATATTCCAAAAGTGTTGGAAATATTTTAGAATTTTTTTCATAGCAATAATAATAATAATAATAATAATAATAATAATAATAATAATAATATTCACATCAAATAAATAGAAAAAAAAAAACAAAATATAATAATAATAACAATATTTATAAGATTGCAAGTGGTGATTTTTTAAAAATATTTTCTTAAAAATTTGCCAAAAGTTATTGGTAAGATTTTTGAAAATCTTTTCAAAAAAAATAATAAAACATAAAATGTTTAAATTCTCAAAATAAATAAAATTTTACAAAAATGAAAGTCACGAGTGGTGAGTTTATCAAAACTTCTTAAATGAAAGATTTTTCTAAAATAGTTCGAAAGTGTCGAAAATATTTTGGGAGTTTAACCAATAAATTTTACTTCAATAATAAAATAAACAATCAATAAATATTACTAAGTAAATTAAAATTTTTGTCAATAATAAAATTAAGAGAGAATTACAAGTGGTGATTTTCCTTCAATTTTTTTTTAAAGCCATACCAAAAGTGTTGGTATAAGAAAATTATGATTTACTTAAAAATATATATATTAAAAATAAATCCAATTATGGAGTCTTTTCAAGGAAATAAATGATTTTTTTAAAATGTATTTGAGGTAAAAAAATTTTAAGTTATACCAAAAGTGTTGAAAATAACTTAAAAAATTTTTAACAATTAAAATAAAAAATAAAAAAAGTAAAAGACTATTCACACAAGATCATTCTAGGACATCCTTAAGAGTATTCAAAATAAAACTCATTGTTTACTTAAAGAAACTATATTATTGGATTTATTAAATATTTTATGTTAAATAAACTAATTTATTCCTCTTTTATTTATTTACAAATAATTTCATACAAAAATATTTCTATTGTATTGGTTTATATTTTGGCTTTAGAGGCAATCTGTGTTTTACAATTTCTGTACTAAGCCCTAGCAAGGAACTGAAGTAGCACTTTTAATTTATTTCTTGTTTTTAGAATCTCCAAAATTTATCATCTCTATAATTTTTTAATATGGCTCAATTGGCTTTCTTTCTTGTTCTACTAATCTCAATAAATTAAGAGGTAAGGTATAGTAATATTTATTATCAAGTTCAGCAATTTGAATTGAAATTTCAAAGTTGAACCTTAGATTATTGTCATAACTATCTTCATTATTTGAAAAACCTAAAAATAAGTAAAATTGGAAGTATATTGGCAAAGTGTTTTGACATGAAAGAAATGGAAAATGAAATTGAAAGAATAAATGAAAATGCATTTTTCCTAATTTTTCTATTAAAATGATAAAAAATAAATAACCCATATATAAAAGATCTTCCTAATGCCATTAGGCGCAATTAATTAAGGGTTCAATCTATTACATTACTTTTTAGAAGATTTAAGAACAATCGATAGCTCTGTTATCTTTTAATTTTTTAATTCTTAACTTGGAGGACATGGATGCATAATAGATATTCACTTTGACCTTTAATTACCTCTTTATTTATCATCTGAATAGAAAGATTAGCAAAAGCTTTTTCTATACTCATTATAAACTCCTCAATAATGGATTCTAGCATGTCAGGATAGATAGATCCTCTTAACCAAAAAGTGTAATAAATGTAAACGATAACCAATTTTTTTTACTCTAGTTCAAATCCCTTAAGGCTAATCATCTTTCTCTCTTTCTTAGCTTCAATTACTTTCTTTCTATCCAACCTAGTTGGCTTATATCTCAAACCAAACTTTTATTTGTCATCAACTATCATTGATGGCTTCTTAATCCCTTAAAGATCTTTTTCTAGCTCTAACCTAAGACACCAATCCTTTTCAATAATTTGCTTAACAATTATTTTAGTAGTTGTAAACAATTGAGGAGAATATAATTTAGACCTTTCACTGACATAAGTAGCATTAACAAGCTTAAAGGCTTTATATAGGGCATTCGACAGCCTTATCTATGGCCTCTGCATATGGAATGGTAATTGGCTTGATTACAAGCAAATCTTTTTCACCAAATACACACACAAGATGATCATTTATAAAAAAAACTTTATCTTCTAATGTAATAGGATGGCATAGTACTCGTTATGTGAATTAAGACCTTTTCAACAGATAATTATATAATAGTGAAATGTCCATAACTTAAAATTTGATATCAAAGGTACAAGGACCAATTTGCAAAAGTATCTTAATTTTACCTACCACTTCTCTTCGAGCTCCGTTGAAAGCTTATAATATCATCTAACTGGTTTGCATATAAAAAATGTCAACTAGCAGTCTAATCAATGTCTACATAATCATGATATTGATTGAAAAACGATTATCGATGATAACTTTTGCCATGATATAATTCTTGCAATTAGTGGTGATGTGAAGAGCCTTGGTACTTCATCTACTTTTTGAAATAATCTCATCATTGTCATCATTAAAGGTTATGTAATTTGCAACCACCAAACTTTTAGTTAGATGATTGGCATCTTCAATAGATATATTATGAGAAACATAAACTTGATTTAAAATCTTGAATAAGCATTACAATGAGGCTTTAAATGTTAGCGGACATCATCACATAATGCTAGTTAGCATTTACTATCAATTTAGATAGTTTCATAAATAGAAGGATCAAAATATGATCATTTTAGATAATTAGGGATCCAATTAAAACTTTTAAAAATTGAAGACTAAAATAAAATTTAGGTCAAAATTTAGTGACCACAAATACTATTAACCCATAAAAGTAAAGTTAAAAGTCCATGAGTAATTAAATTCTTACTTTATATGTACTATCATCTTTTGATTTCAATAACTATCTCAATGCGTAAAGGTTGTTTTAATGAGTTTGGGTTTAGAAATTAATTAGATATATAAGTTCATATTTTTATTTATGTGAATTAAGAGTTCTTTAAGAAATTTATATAATAAACAATGGTAAATTTTCAAAGATGTATTTTTTTTGTTTCATTTTATTTTAATTAATATTGCATATATAAAATAAGGTTTATCTTCGATATGTTTTTGCTATATTATGCTTTTTTACTATTTTTGAGTTGATTTTAAGAGTAGTTAATAAGTTTTTGTCGTTTTAAAAAAAATTATTTTTACCACGTCTTTGTTTTTAGAATGGTAAATTCAAATGAAACATTTTTGGTAGGAAATATATGCAATTATTATAATTTAAAATTTATCATCTATAATTTATAATATATAAAGTACGGATTTAAAGAATATTTTGAATTGATAAAAATAAATATTTATATTCAATATATTTCTAAATTGTCACTTTAGATTCTTTTATTATATAAACAAAATTTATCCAATTTATAAAATAATAATTTTACTTCCATTTAAATACCTTCATTAAATAAATTTATTCGATAAATAAAAATGAGCAAAAGTTTATATTTTTGTCAAAATTTTAAATTTACATTAACTTTAAAAATAGTAAATTTTATACTAATATGTGCATGTAACAAACTTTACACGTTAATATGCACTATATATATAAATATATATTTGAAAGATTAACATGCATTATATTATTTCAATTATTTATACAATATATAATTATATATTTAATATAATTATTATTTAAAATTTTTTAGAAGTTTAATTTTATATTAATGTTAAAAATAATAAATTTTATATTAATTTAATATATTTTACCCACTAGACAAACTTTACATAGCAGTATTCATTTTATCAATTTCAAATATTTTTTAACTATCATATTAATTTTAAATATTTATACAATATACATATATATATTCTATATATATTTCTATTTAAAAATAAACAATAAATATTCACTTGCATTGCACTTTATCATTTTCTACATATTCTATTTACCAAAATTATCTTAGAAATGATAAAATAATTCAAATTTAATAAATTTTGACTCACTTTAATCTAATAAAAGTAATTTTTTAAAATTAAAAGTCAAATCAAAAGTTAAACAGATATTTTTAAAAGTATTCGAATCAGGTTAAAGGTGAGATTTAAGATACTTTACCTCAGATATAAAAGTATATATAATTTTATTATTTATTTAATTTTATATGTATGTATTAATAAAATTATTATTTAATATCTTAATGTAATATATTAATTTAATAAAAATATTATATTTATATATAATTAAAATGTAATTTATATAAAAAATAATATTTTTATAAATATTATATTAAATTAAAATCATTAAATTAATTTTAAGTTAGATTTACATTTGATGCATGTTATATATATATATATATATGTGTGGTATGTGTGTTGTAACAAAATCGTGTATCAAAAATAATAATGCAATATATGATGTGGTCAAAATCGGATAGAACCTTTTAAAATTTGGTTGAAGTAAAGTGAAAAAGATTTTACGTCAACTTAATCCCTTACCATCTTTAACCATGCAGTATACCAAGCAAAAAAACTAACTCCTTTATTTATTTATAAAATTAAAAATATAAGAAAATTTCAATCATAACCAAATATTACATTTATATATAAAAAATTATTAAACCAATCAATAAAATTAAAATATAATTATATAAATTTATCATAAAATTAAATTAAATTCACAAAAAAATTCAAAATAAAACCTGTCACTAAATTAAAGCTTGACAACCCGACCCATTGCCGTACTCACCCGTGTAGCGCACCTGGCGAAAATCTAGCTCCCTTGTTCAACTTTTTCTCTATTATTTACCTTTTTTTTTTTCATTATTATATCAATCATCGAGTCTTGATTTAAGGTTTCAGGTTTCTACTTTCTATCGGTTCTTGACATGGCGGGTGCTGGAATCCACCCTTATCACCAGCAGTGGCCGCCGGTACCAGCTCCTCCGCCCCCAGCAGCATCAGCAGCCGCTCCTCCACTGCCGCCTCCTGTCCACCATCCTCCTCCACCTGCTCCCTCTCATGATGAGGTCAACTCTTTATCAGTTGATCTCCATTTGCCTTTGTTTTTCCTTTTCAAGCCTTAGGTTTTAAGCCTGAATTGCATGATTTGATGGTAATCTAACCCTAATTATCTCTCTCTCTCTATGAGTTTTCTTTAAGTACTGCAAATATGAGAGTTCCTTTTCTCTCTGCTTAGCTTTGTAGGTTCCATTGTTTCTCTTTCTAAAAGCATTTGTATATAGATGATTTACATGGATATTGGGCTTCCAGTTTGTACTTAATTTTTTCATTCAGAGAATTAAAATAATATTTTCTAATTAATAATTAAAAATTAATTTGTATGACTAACAACATATACTACTCCATGATTTTGTTTTTATAGGAAACAATTCTATATGAATGTGCATTACAACAGTTTAATTATTTGTTCCTGTTTTAGTGAAACGAATATTTTCTTTTGCTTTTTTAGCAACATTGGAAGAAGCAGAAAATAAGATGAAGTAAGAACAAAATAGAGCTTTGTTTTTTTGAAGATAAGTAGTTGTTCGACATTTATATGTGTGAGTACAAATGTTTGTAGAGCATGTTTTTGTGTTTTGCATGGACAAGTTCATTGCTATTTTCTTGGATATTGTAAAAATAATAGAAATATTTGTTCTGGATTCAGGTTCGAACTATCTTTATTACGGGTCTTCCCGAAGATGTCAAAGAGAGAGAGCTACAAAATTTACTGAGATGGCTTCCAGGTTATGAAGCTTCGCAGGTGAACTACAAGGGAGAAAAGCCAATGGGTTTTGCTCTCTTCTCAAGTGCACAATTTGCAATTGCTGCCAAAGATGCCCTTCAGGTAATATAAAATGATTACATTGGCGTTTTTTATTTACTCATCTGAGATATGTCATCCTGTTCTGAAGCACTAATTGTGTTTGATTCTGGGGGTATTAGGAAATGGTTTTTGATGCTGAGTCAAAGTCGGTATTGCACATAGAGATGGCCAAGAAGAATCTATTTGTGAAAAGAGGTGAGTCATCGTTAACACCTTGTTTCATGCCAGAGTGAAAAAGACTATGCGTGGTTATCAAGAAACATATGGACAGAAATTGTTTTAATCTGGAGATAAATTAATGAAAAATGTATAATTTGGTTCCAAATGATCCCGAAGTATGAAAGACAATTAGATGATGCTTCAAAGAACAGAAGAGGACTGTGAAAAGGAATATGAAGCAGCTATGAACAGAAGACAATTAAACAATTTATTTTTGGTATTACATGGAGAGGTTTTTTGTAATTTCACCGAGTTGGTGTCACATGACTCATGACACCAAACTCAGTTAGAGGTTTTATAATAGCCTAGATTTGTTGGCATTATATTGTAATATGATTAGATGTGGTTTCTTTTTAGCTTAATCATCGAATCTATGCTCCAACAAAGTTGAATATGAAGCAGCTATCCCCTCTTGGGAACATTAATTCAAAAGTTGGAAAACTTCCTTTTAGATAACATAATTTTTGCAATTGATAAATTTCTCTGTTTTCATTTCCTACCCTTTTACTTTGTTTTCCATATGGTAATGCATAGTGATATCATAAGTATTGACAAAAAAGAGCAAGAATGATGGAAATTGTCTCCAAATGGGAGGAAGAAGTTTTTCAGTTGTCACTCGTTTGAATTTTGATCTAGGCTCTTTCTTTTTGTTGTTGAAATTTGATTTTATTCATTAAGGGTCTGTACAGTTTGTAGTTTCCTGCGAAAGAGTTATAATGTCTTCTGAAATTTATTTTTCCCCTCAGGAATCCAATCTATAGTTGGCTGTTCTAGCTTATTATCTACATGCACATGAATAGTTTTTATTTTCAAAATTTCATATTGTAGTTACCAACACTCATTTACTACTGATTAATTATTTGCTTCCAGGATCCTGTAAGTTGTTCTTATTTTCAGAATCAAAATATAAACAATGGAACATCCTTCTACCTTGAGAAGCCTTTAAGTTATAATGTTGGCCTTTGGTTATCCACCACTTCATGGTTGGAATGTGTTGTGTGTGGGTTTGTGGCGGGTGTAAGTGGGTGAGTGAAAGAGAGAGGCATAGTGATATGATAAAATTAAATTCAAATTGTGCCATAATTAAGATTGTAGTTTTATTTTGTGATATTTATTCTGTAGGAATTGTAGCAGATTCTAATGCATATGATCAAAGCAAACGTTTGCGAACTGCTGGCGATTATTCACACAGCGCTTATACAACTCCATCTCCATTTCACCCTCCTGCTCCTGTTTGGGGACCACATGGGTAAGAAGCTATGTCAGGATGTTGGATACTGCTATGATCAATGCTTAGTAGTAAAAGATTTCAGCTGTAGTTACAGCATTTCTTGTTAAGTTGAACATTTGTGTATTTGGCATAGGTATATGACTCCAACTCCTCCTCCATATGATCCGTATGGAGGTTATCCTGTCCCTCCTGTGCCAATGCCTACCCCTAGTCCTGTGCCTCCTAGCAGTTATGTGCCTGTTCAGGTAATTTCTATGTGCCACATGTCCTTTTCTCCCCTGGTTTAGTTCTTGTATCAATTTTTATCGGCTGTTTATTTCCTCTAAATTATGGAAATGGTGAGTTTTGACTATTTATTTAATAACAATTGACTCTGATGTAACAAAATACTAAGTTTTTTATCAGCTTATATATACCTGGATTTGGAATGAATTTCCACTGAAAAGTTGGCTTGTTGGACACTGGAGATATGACCCTTTTGCCCAATGCTTTTGTGGATAATTGTCAGTGAATGGGTCTTAATTTGCCAAAGACCTTGCAATTTATGAGGATGTTGTTCGTTCTTTCTGAGAAACCTAGATGCAGCATCAATCATGTGTAGTTTTTTCTGGCAGTAGATGGAAACTACTTAAATATACATATTCACCATTATAGATCATTATGTATCAAAAGAACATTTAAAATTATAAAAAATACCTTTATGTAGCCTTGTTTCCTGTTTATTAATTTCTGACAGCTGGAAAGTTGGACTTCCATTGTTTGGTTTAGTGTGTTACTTGTGTCCATGTCTGCTACTCATCTGTTATTAAGTTTTCCTTACGGTTGTTTGGTATACGTGTAATATTTTCAAATATAAACAAATGATTTTGATTTTATTTTTCCACTATTTACTAGTTATTTTTACCTACATGTTTTTTTTTCTTTTAAATCTCATATTTATTCAGTAGAACTCTTTTATCATTCTATCATCATTATATCGTATGTATTGGTAGACCAAGCAATTTTTTTCTGATCTAAGAAGATATTTTCTAGCATAAGTTTGCTTTGCATCTTGCAACGCTTAAAATTTTCATTGATGGGTAACAACCAATGATGTATGTGTTTCTGCAAATACTGCATGGGCAAGAAATATCTCCTTTGGGACTCCTCTAACCTGAAAATCTTTCCTTAGCCATGAGTTTGACTCCCATACCTTGCAACCTGCCATTTTTAATGTTTTAGAAAGAGAAGGAGATGGGGAGGAGGTCCATCTGTGGTTGTAATAAATGCATTAAGAATCTGTTTACTCTGTAGAATAGGTTGATAAACTTGCTGAGGTTCGGATCTCCATTTTCTGGAATTTTTTAGAGAAATGTTTTCTAAGAGAGGAACCTGCCTGAGGTGAACTTGAGCAAATACCTTTGCTGCTGTATGATAATTGTTTGATTGTGTATTAGGATAGTGTTTTGCTGCAAGGACATCTTCTATAGCTGTTTGATTCTCTCAAGTTTCCATTCCTTGTTATAACTAGGGTATTCTTTTTTTTCATGGAGTTTGAAGTGGAATGGTTTTTTATTTTTTTCTATATAATGACACATCCAGCATTGGATTGTCATATGAGTAGCCAGGTAAATTTTACAGTTTCTCCATTATTCACTTTGTTTTTAACAATTTTTTGTTGGCAGAATACCAAAGATAACCCTCCTTGCAATACGTTATTTATTGGCAATCTTGGAGAGAATATTAATGAGGAAGAACTAGGGGGCCTATTCAGCGCGTAAGAATGTCCTAGCTCCCAGCTAGTTTCTGAGCTGTTTTATTTCTTGTGTGACCTTTGGGTTGCTCACTGATGACAGCCTTTATTTCGTACTTCTGCTTTACATGCAGGCAACCTGGTTTTAAACAAATGAAGATCCTGAGACAAGAAAGACATACTGTTTGCTTTATAGAGTTTGAAGTAAGTTTCTTATCTTAATCTACGTGGATGCAACCAGTTATTCATGGAATGAAATTTTCTTGGATTTTATTCATAACCTTAGAGTTTGTTTCCCCAACTTGCAGGATGTGAATACTGCAACCAATGTGCACCACAGTTTACAGGGTGCTGTGATCCCTAGTTCTGGTTCTGTTGGCATGCGAATACAGTATCCTTTGTGCATTTCATTGTGGCTTTACTGTTTTAAGTGTTCTTGTTTTCCTTCATTTCTTTTCTTTGTTATGTCAACTGTTACATTTATACTGGTGCTATTTTGATGTGCTATAATGTGTCTTGATTCTTGTATGTTACAATCCATCCAGATAGGTTGTCTACCTACTAATTACCCTTTTCATTGCTTCTTGTTATCTCAGTGTAGGTTAGAACATGACATTCCACAAACACCTCCTTTTTTCAGGAACAAGATATGTTTTCATTGGCAAATTTTGATTCAAAGAACTTCAATCTCTAAGAAGGGTGGGGGTGGGGAGAAAATTCTTTAGTTTTTTTTGGTCAGGAATGGAGCTATGGTTTGAAAGAAAAAGAAAGAGAGGAGGGCGGGGGGTGCAATTCTTAACTTAAGAAAACTGACAGTGTTATTTGATAGTTTTATATTTTAAAACAAATCTATTTTTTCAGAAAATAATATAAAATGTAACTTTTGAACTTTTAATTTTTTTCATAATTTCTTTATATTAATGTTATTACTCTTACTTTTATTCATTAATCTTTAATAATTGGATTATATGTTCTCCTTTATTTTGTTAATGTTTGTACTTCTGTATGCATTATTTTACAACATTAAAAAACATTCTTATGTATTGAAAATGCTATATTTTAATTACCTTTCTTGTGTGTCCCACGTATTCAAAACTAGTAATTATACTAATTATTTCATTAATAATATGCAAGATATAAGAAAATATATACTTACAAGAAATAACTCCTGAAAGAAAAAAAAATTAAAGAATATGAAAAATAAAGTATGAAATTTTTTTGGCCAGCACATATAATGTAAATATATAAGAATGTAATATAGCATAATGTAAATATAAAAATAGTTTTTCAGAAAGTAAAAGATGTGTGTGTGTGTGTGTGTGTGTGTGTATATATTAAAATACTCAAAAGACAATTTAAAAATTCTGAATGCCAGAGAGTAGAATTAGGAAAGTCAAGGGTGCCAAGTTAAACTAAGTGAGAAAACTAAAAATTTCCATGGTACTAAATGAGAGGGCTTCATGGCTCTCACTAGCCCCAGCTGGCACTGCAGGTCTATTTTGGTTACGTTATTAGCTTTGTTGCTTGTTTCACCTGTAACTTTACTATATAAATGCTTCTATGAACATTGTTTTCTTGACTCTATGATAGATACTCCAAGAATCCTTTCGGTAAAAGGAAGGACTCCAGTCATCCTGTTGCTTCCCCTGGTGCAAATGGGGCTCCACCACCTATGACTTACCAGTAGATCAAGGGGATGTTCTCTGTATTCTGTTCTCTGACAATCACAACTCTACATGCTAGGATGCATCTTGCAGCTTTTGCATGCATCCATGTCATTGCCACAATCAGCATTAGCATCTTCTCTTGTGTTTGAATGCACATAGTGGTATCATGAACACACCATTTGCTCATGTTATATCAATTTACCTAAGACATGCATTTGTCTGCAGCATTTGTTATGTCAGGTTAACTTTATAGGGTTTCAGATAATATAATTTAATATATGTAGAAGTAACGCATTATCTATAGTTTTGGTTAATTTGTGTGCTATTCCACCTCATATCGAACATTGACCATTCCTTGATACTGGACTACTGTAGTTCAATATTAGGTTCAACTGCGTCATGCAACATACATCTGGAGTTGATCCAAATACATTACATTACTAACATGAGATTAAAAGATGATCCTCAGTTGCATTTCATGGCATTATTTCAATTTAAAAAACGCTGAAAATCATACCATTTTTCATTCTAGACTTGGAATTGTTAGAACCATTGCCGTAGCCATACGCACATTTTGTTCCAGATTCATAGGCCCTATTTGTTCTGGTCAAGTGAAAAAATGATTGCCATGTTTTTAACATATTAGGGGTCTTCAAAGCATAATTATAGGACTAATTTTCGAAATATGTATGCCAGTATGATCCAAACACATTACATTCAGAAGAAAATCATGATTTTCATATCATACCACTGTTATGATCTGAAAATGTAGGAAGGCATACCATTGCACATTTATTATGAGGAAGAAATATAACCGTTACCATAGCCTTAGACACTGTTTATTCCATTGAAGTGAAAGGATGATGATCATCTTTTAAGCATTTAGGGTCTTCAAAGCATAATTAAGGAAGTATTAGAAGATTTATGTGGCTATGATATATATGCAGGATAAGCTACTCTGTTTGAGGTGAACAGTGCTTCAGCTGATATTTTTGTTTCAGGTAACCTTTTAGTGGTAGTCAAAAGTGAAAACATCCCCATGTGGATGTTGAGCTGACAGACACCTCTTAGGAATAAATGCTTGTTGGTGACAGCTACAACTGCATGTTTTTTATTGGCTCTCTATTTCTGGAGGAACTCTCTTTGGTCTTTTGTTTGATGCAGAAGATTAGTGCAGTGTAAGGGAAGAAATGAAAATGGTAAAAAAAAAAAAACAGTTACTTGCTGCAGTGAATAAAAATTTTCTAACCATGGCTGACTGATTATTTTTAATCCATTGGTTATATATAATATAATATCTTTGGTCGTTTTAACTTGTAGGTTGTAGAGTTATTCAAGCTGTTCCATTTCTCCTAGCAACGCAGCTATTATTATAGTGTAGTATAGGAAGCCCATTTCTCATGGATTTTTCTAGGTTTAACTCGCTCTTTTGTTTTGGGTCACGTTTGTAGTTACATAACTGATATAATGTGCAAGCCTTGAAAGTCCAAGCAATTATGCATACATCCCAGATAAAATAATTTAATTATTAATTCTATAATTTGACTAAGCCACACGCTTCCGGCTCAGTGGTTTGCCTCTCCCCTAAGACAGAGGTTAATGTTGCTTGTTTGACGGTAAGCTGCCACATGCATCATCCTCCACTGTCAAATGCTCCCTTCAGTCCGTTGGTGTCAAGATCAGATCAGTTCAGTCCAGCCATGACTAGCTCTTTTCAGCGTCAAGACCAGCCACCCACGCCCAAGATCAGCAACTTCCTCTCCTTTTCGCCTTTGACCTCCTTATGTGTCCTCCCCCCCCCCCCTCCCTTTCAATTTCCCAAACAGATCCAGCCTTGACTACCTTTCTTGGGTTTTAAGCTCCAATCATTGTAGTTCTTTTGCCACCATCTGCCATTTCTCCACTTTGATCTTTTGACTTCATTTTTCTTACACTCCTTAGTCGGGATTAGACAAATTTTGTTTTCAAACTTTTTACTCAAAATTAACATATATTTGAATATTATGATTATTTGTTCTGGCTATTTATGATTTTCTTTTGGGTTCTTTTATGGTGTATATAAATAATGGGAAGTTGTTAATCTTAATGATAATGAGAAATTCATGCATTGCCTTGAATATCAAAAGAAGATAATGAAAAATGTATAGTTCAATTAGCATACTAAGATCATGATAATGAGAATTTATGGATGGGTTTGGCATGATTGTTTGAAATGCTTTATGAGTTTGTTTTTAATATTAAGAGTTTAGCTTTACTTTTATTTAGTGTCTTATTTTTTTTTAAATCCGAAAAGTGAGATGGTGAAAATTTAAAAAAAAAAAAGAATTTATTAGAAATTTTTAATAATTAGTGTAATGAAAAAATTATTATTAAAAAAATTATAAATTTTAAAATTAATAAAAAAAAGTTAATTTTATTATTTTGATCTTTTCTTATAAATTTAAAATTCATTTTTTTAATAAATATTTTTTCTTGATATCGATTATCAGTGGATTTGAATTTAAATTTTGGCATTCGTAACATTTTTTTTTTTATTTTCAAATTTCATAGTGTGGTTTCTTTTATAAAAAGTATAGATGATAAGAAAAACAAATATTAAGATTTTTTCAGTTATTGGTTTAAAGAAATAAAAATTAATTATTAAGTTTTTAAAAAGTATATTAATTATTAAGTTTAGAAAAAAAAAGATGTGGATTAAAAAAATGTCTGTGGTATATCATTTAATCCACGTTTGCATTTTTTCAAATTTAATTCAATTAAAATGCCACATTATTTTAGTCAATGAATATTTAAATAAGTCAAACATCAGTATTTTTAATGAAAAAAGGGATAGAATTAGCGGTTAGATTATATTTATTAGAATTAGGATTAGATTAAAATTATTAAATCAAAAAAATATAAAAATTAAATTTATTAAATTTCAAATTCTGACACAGTAGAGAAACTTCTTATATAATTTAACTGACCATAAATGGTGATGCAAAAGTTTCATTTTGAACCTTTTGACAAAATGGCAATTTGGCTCTCTAAATTCTATCTGCAACTCCGTATTTATTTCACTGTAGAATTATTTCACCGACCGTACTTTTTAATCTTCCTGAGCCACCTTCTTGCAACATCACCATCAGTCACTGCAGTTAATTTTCAGGGGTCTGCTTCAATCTTCCATTTTGCCGCTTCCAGCTCATTTCGTTTTAGTGGTTTGCAAACTTCTTTACCCTAGCTAAAAGAACCCTCGACGGTTTCTCTAAGGGGAAAATAAAAAAGGACAATGCAAAAAGGCAATAGAAGAGGAGAGGAACCAATATTACAAGAAACATAAGGTAGTGTGAAAAACGGTTTTTGTACTTGAGAATTGCCAATTCATGATGATGTCAAGCGTGAAACTTTTGACTCATCTATTCAGATAGTAAGCATTTAAATTTAATTTATAAAAAACGTTTGACTCATCTATTCGAAAGCGTGAAGCTTTTTAACTCATCTATTCGAAAACGTTTCCTCACTTGATAGACAAGAAAAGACAAATTATCAGATAGCCTACAAATCTGGCTCTAATACCATGAAACAAAAAATATCTTAGTCTGAAGAATGCAACAGTAAATGCAACTACTTTATTCATAATCGGAGTACAATTTGTAAACTAAAACAGTTGAAAAATATCAGTTATCCATGACCACCATTACCTCCAACAAATAGATCAGTATCTACTCCTAAGTGGACCATGATGTCCTCCTAAAAAATCTCTTAACAGTCTTGATTTTATCAAATCTAAATGACTTCTACTCTAATAGAATCAAATGCATCAACCTGAGCACAACTAAAGTAAAAACCAGCAAAGTATGCACTAAACTTTAACATATATTAATCTAATGCATGCAAAATTGTAAATTAACGTTAAGTCTTTTATTGAGATTAGCAACATTTATTGGAGATTACTCTATGAGTAATAATTAAAGTCTCCATTATCTTCCAACTTAATCTACAAAAACATTAATGTTAAGAAACCTTGACTCTTATTTCAAATGATAAAAAGCTATAAAATGATTTGAGGTTTAGTTGCTTCAATTAATAAGACGATAGCAATCACTTGCACAAATTGGTCACAAATTAATAATTAACAGATCATCCTATTTTTTATTTAGATATAAAGTGTTTATTTTAAGTCCATAAAATTTTGATCTTGTTGGTATAATTGATTACAAGTGCAAAGGACAAGCCTTAAAAAGAGAAGATCCTTTAAGCTTTCAATGGAAATTTGGTTCTTAAATTGTTGTGGTCTTATTTTCTAGAATTTTATTTTATTAATTGTGTAAAAGTGAAATGAAGATGGTTTAAAAAGAGATGGTACTTTAAGGTTTCAATGAAATTTTTGTTCTTAAATTGTTGAACTATCACAAAAAATCATGTTTCATTCAAGTTATTTAAGAACAGCACCCTTGATCGAGATTTGGAATCATGTAAAATTACCTCCCTAAAACCAAACTCCTTTTTCCCTCTTCTGCTTCTTTGAAGTAGCAAATTAGTAGCGCTATGATGTTATGGTATCTGTTAATATTTTAATGTGCCATACAATTTCTCTTTTTTTTTTTGTATGATGCTAATTATTTGATTGTACAATTATTTGTTGATGTTGATAGAATAATAACGAAACATGTATTTACGATTACTCACAACTGAGTGAATTTTAGATTTCAAGGGCAGAAATATAATGTCTTTTATTATTTATATGAAATGTTAGTATAATTTGAAGTATTAAATCAACTTTTTTTCATTGTTTATTGTTCATTTTCCGATCATAATGTTAGACCTAGCTGATTCATTAAGATGGGTTTATTTTTCTTGATATTGGTATTTTACTTTAAAATTTTATTAGGTACCTTTAGTAAGATATCCTCTTTACACGGTCATTGATGTCACTGTTTCTTTTGGCTTAAATATGAAATTTAACTATCAAGTGCAGAATTTTTTAGTTGTCATTTATTAAAGTCAAATTAATTGGGCTTCATCTTTCGTTAGCTATAGATTGAAGGGCCATGTCTCTAGACACTTTGCTATTGTGCATTTGAGTCTAAGATTGTTGATTATCCTTTTGAATTTGCATGTAAACATGCACTTTGATCTCGGGACTATGAAACTACATAGTTTGATATTCATTATGTTTTGTTATATGTCTTTGATTAATTATGTTAAACTAAAATTTAAGTTGTGAAACACCCAAGATAGTATTGTATGATTTTTTGTTTGAATGGAAACTTTGTGACTATAACTTGCTGATTATGTCTCTAACAAGTGTTGCAATGCAAATCATTGTCACTGTTAAAATTTTAACTTGTTTAAGGTGATTTAAATTGATATTCAGCTTTGTTTTTTACTCAGAATTTGAAGATTGATAAGATTATTGGCAATTACATGTGTGGAATAATTATTTATGAGTTGCTCAAATAAATTAAGGCAGATTTATTAATAAATAAATAAATAAATAATCACTTCATCTCATATGTTTAACATATTAGTATGAAATGTAAATTTCATCCGTGTTTTTACTTCCCCTTGTATCTTAAACGTTTATATACATATCATTTCCCATTTTTTACCCTTTCCTTTTTTTTTTTTAAGTTTTAATTCTTTTTTTTGTTGTTGTCTATTCACTACAAGAAAATGGCATTTTAGCACCAAATTTGTAGCAGCCATTCACTCACAAATGCTGCTAGCTTCTGTGTTTTTATAAAACTTAAAACGTTTATTATCAAAATGTCACTAAATATTCAAAGAGCGGTGTTGTTACTTATAAACGTCACTCAAGACTTGTTATCAGCGGCGTTTCTCGACTAAAATGCCTTGAATAATCCTACCTTAAAAAATTCAGTGAATATTAAAGGCGTATTTTTGACAGACAACGCCTTCAATAATCATTTTAAAAAATTGTATAAGATTATTAAACGTGTTTTATACAAGAAACACCTTTAATAATTGACCAAAGTTTTTCATAGGCTTATTGAAGTCGTTTTTGTTTAAAAACACATTCAATAAATATCATATCAAAATGTTTGAATCGTACTGATATTAACCATAAGGTTATAAATTCGATCCCTCCCTTTAGCCTTTTTTGGATTTTTGCAAACATTATTTATAATTGATTATTGTCAGCATTTTCTTCGAAAAAACACCTTCATCAATTGCTTTAAAAATTTTTGCATAGATTATTGAAGGTATTTTTCTTAGAGAAACGCCCTTAATAATCCATAGGAAAAATATGAGCCGATTCTTGAAAGCGTTTTTAGCCGAACTCGCCTTCTATACTCCAATCAATAAAATTTTGTTGTGATTGTTAAATGTGATTTTGGTAAAAAACATCATTAATAATCCATAGGCAACAGTTTGAACGGAAGGTTGAAGGCGTTTTTTGGAGAAAAACGCCTTTAATATTCAAGACGATAAATTTTAATGGTTGGATTATTAAAGGTCGTTATATCCAAAAACGCCTTCAATAACATTTTGTTAGGGATTATTCAAGACGTTTCCCGTAGGAAAATGCCATTTATAATCCATTTGATTAATTTTTAATTGGTATTATTGAAGGCGTGTTTTTGCTCAAAACGCCTTTAATATTCCACACAAATTTTTGGTCGGATTATTGAAGATGGTTTTGGTAAAAAATCGCTATCAATATTCCAGACGATAAATTTTAATGGTCAGGTTATTGAAGGTGATTATATCCAGAAATGCCTTTAATAACATTTTGTTAAGGTTTATTCAAGGTGTCACCTGTAGGGAAACGCGC